AAAAAACACGTTTCCTGTTGAAAGTATTCTTGCCTTACTAGTTGAAAGAGTTTGAAAGAAGGCCTTAATGGGGATCTGAGAATCCAGTTGCGAGCAGGGCGGCGGGACAGGAGGCCTAAGGGGCATAGCCCCACTGTGGCCTATATAGCCCCAAAAGTATAAAGGAGGAAGCCTAAGCCCTGAACAACGATCAAAGTAAAAGAATAAAATGAAATTCTTGTTTCTTGATCGCTGTCTAGAAGGCAACGTGAACAAATTTACCAACATTGTGGATAGATAAATACGTGCTTCAGCACCTGTAACAATTTCACAGGGGGCTAAGAAGCTGTAAAAATAGATTAATAACAATTATTTGTTGAAGGCGAAGTGATTACCGGTGAATATTTACTGAGACGAAGTCGAAATGAATATTCATCGTAATCCCTGAGCCTAAGGCAAATAATTGTTTTAGTATAAATTTTTAATGAATAAAACAAAATATCCAAATATCAGTTTAATTAAAATTCAGAAATAAAACTGTTTTCGGCCGGTTCAAGGTTGCTGTCTTAGTGTTGCAGTGTTTTAGTTGTTACGCTTCCAGTGTGACTCTATTGCTTTATTGCAAAGTTGTTTTTCTCAATTTCTGCTCAGAATATAAACACCATGATGGAATGATTTTTTTACCAGACTTTACCAAAAAATAGTTTCTGTTTAGCATTAATTTGTTCAGGAAATGGCTGAGAAAATTGATAAAATGGAATGTAAAACTATTGCTCAACTGAATGCCTCGAAATAAAGTTTCAATCGACTTTTTACTTTAGTCTTTTACTAGTTTCGAAAACACAATACAGCGTCAGGACACCGATACAGCACAATGAAAACATGACAAAATTAAGAAATAGTATCGTACAAATTGCGACATCTATAGGATACAAAAAAGAGGTTTTAAAAGAATATCACGCCAAGATTTTTTGCAACAGTCGACCAATCAGAACGCGCGAAAGCTCATTTGATATGCAACATTCATACTAAATCGTATTATGTCTTGTTTAATTAAAAAGCGCCAGGTTTATCTATCTCGCCAAGAATGAAGCAATTTATTGCAGCATTTTTGTCGCACAAATTCTTCAAATTAGTGCCAGAAAGTTCAGGGAATAGCATTTTCGAGCCCCCTAGTTTTCAACCCTGATAACGTTAAGTATCTTCCTACACTGCTGCAGCTGTGACCTTTGTGTCACGTTTTGCGTGTCGTGTTTGCATTTAGCTGAAAACTACGGTATTGAACTTTGCTGAAAATTAGCCTTCCAAAATCAAAAACTCAGCCATCAAACACGGCTGAAAATTGGTGTGAGTTCGCATGTGGGAGCGCAGGAGTCACCTAACGTTTATGCTTTGGTCAAACGAGAGCAAGAGAGATGAAATCCAGGGCCGCCCAAAGGCGAAGACATTTTGTCCCGGACCGCCAGTTCAATAGAGCCCCTGAAAGCAACAAGTGTCCTTGAAATTTCTTAATCCAAACTGCGTCAGTGTCCGCGAATAATTAGAGACTTTAAGATTCACGTTTACGGCAATCCGCTAACTATAAACGGCAGACTCCAAATCGATTTTGAACATAAGTTTCACACAATTTCTACGACCAAGTTAGTATGCTTACCTCAGTACGCTTCAATTTCACCATACAAATTGTTCCAAGTTGCAACGGCTTACAGTTGTCCTCACAATGCGATTCAAAGTTTGCCGTTAACGGTTTCCCATAAACATGAATCTTAAAGTCTCGCATATACAATAAAACTCAGAATATTTTAAAAATTGCTTCCCTTTATAAACCACGCCACATTGTTTTTGTGGTGTTTCCACACTTCGTATTCGTATTTCCAAAGCATGACGTTATAACGCCGGTTAATATGATTATTTATATCAAAGTTATATTGACGTCACTCCGTTTAAAACTTTCTCCAAACTTCATATTTGGTCAGGTACATGTACAATCTTGGACACAACCCTTGATACCGTTCCAGGCTATATTTTATATGGTTAGTTATATTTGTCATCCCTTCCCCCAGTTCGATGTTGTAAACAACGCCGAAACAACTTTATCTAATTTGCCATGACACAACATTGACTTTGGGAAGCGGGGGTTTAAGACCCGCCACATGATTGAACATGGAATTTATCATAAGGGGTATGCGAATTTTGTATGGAGGGAAAGGCGTAGTTTAAGCCAGTTATGTCCAAGATTGTAGCTATTGAGTTAATATGACCATTTCACAGTTGGCTATTAGCCAATCAGAAACTGTGAATTATTTTAAATAGATAATAATGCAAATTTAAACATTACCTTTCCAAGGGCTTTTGGGTTGAGGTTTTTTAAACCTTAGTTGATCAACTGGAGCTTCAGCATACGGAATATTAAGGAACTTCTGGACCCTGATTCCAGATAAACTGGAAGACTGGATCATGCCTCTTATCGAACCTGAGTTGGTCTTGATCACTGTAGAATATATACAAAATTACTTCAGTCAAATTTACCATTATTACCTCAAAGTGGAATGCATTCTGATTATTACGTATGTGAAACAAGAGGTCACTCAGAGTCAGAGACTGCATACCTTAGCCTCAGGAAACAAATTGCAGATAACCTAATTATGCATTCGGTTTTCTCGGCCAGGGAAAGCAATATTAAAACTGGTTATTTCTTATCCAATTGTTAATCGTTTTGTCCTTGGCCTATATGGTCGTTAGCCTTGCGAATTTTCGTCTAATAGATTTGATATCTTTTATTTATCCTGCTGTTAGGCATATACAACAAACTGTAGCACCCAGTTGAAAACATAACCTCTTGGCGGAAGTAATAATATTTATTTAATAATAAAATTCAACAAGAGCGAGAGTCTTTTTCTTGCAGCATTAACTCGTGCCCTTCGGCCGTCCTGGTTGTCGGATGTTTGTTTTCTTTATTGGTACTATGTCCATATTAAACTTTTCTTTAAAAGGATGTGGCTATAAACATTTAGTTTATCTCATTTAAAAGAACTTTAAAAATTATAGGGAAAATTTTTTTCACAACTTTCCCAAATGTTGCTTAGTTCTCGAAATATTGTTGAATGAAATCATCACACATCAATGAGTTTTCCGCCATCTTGGATCTATTGTGGATATGCATGTTACGTCACAAGCAGGGTCACGCAAAGTATTTCACCCAATATGCAATTGTCATTATCAGGTTAGCGTTAGGATTAGGATAAGATAATGCAGACAAATAAATGTGACTTTTTTATTTTGCATGCGTAGTGATATTTTTGATTTCCTACGATCTGATTGGCTGCAGGAACGGGAAGCTTTACCGTGGTCGAAAAGAGTTCAGTACTTTTTTAGCGACAAACCGAGGAGCGAAGACAATTTTCAAACTCAAAACACGACCCAAACTATCGAAAAATCGACGCTATCGATATTAAAGATAGTAAAATACAGTGAATTTACTTCAATTTCCAATCAATCTCCGACCAAAATGCGAAATTAAACCAAATATAAATATCGAATTAAAAACACTGGCCAGTGCTAGCTTAGTACATGTTTTATTCAAACGCTCCACATATATTCAACTATTCTTCGAAAATATACGTATAAATATAAAGACTACGATTACGTACAACTTGTCCTTAAACTCATTTTACTTTGTTTACCTTCTGTTGTCTTGTTGAGTAGCCGAAATATCTATTGCAATGAAACTAAAAGTTGTTTATCCAGCCTTTATCGCGTCGTTTTAGTAGTTAGTCAAGCATGCTTGCACTAAAGTAACAAACTCAACTGATCTCGAATGTACTTCGTAACTGGAATTTTATCGGAATTTCATTATAACCATGAACCATCATTTATTTACCAGCTGCTAGCTCATCAATCTGAGCCGCCAATATACAAGTCAATGTTGCTAGCAATCTTCAGTTGTTATTTTCGTCATTCATGCCCCTGAATAGGAAGAAAAATCAACGCCAAAATCTTTGCATTGCGATGTAAAATTCACTTTAAAGTTTAGGAAAAAAGACTGCCTATCGTTGCCACGGCCAAACGTTAGCTACATATAATTATGTTGAGAATGTTCTCGACATAATTACTTGTCTGTCTGTTGGTACAATTGCATATAATTACAACAAAACTTTAATAACCAGATTACCTAGCTAATTACACTGACCGCAGCCAGTGTCATAGAATGCCTTTGCTGAAAATGCTGTCTTTTTCGGGGTTTTTTTGGTTGTCGCAAGTGTGACTTTCTATTGCGGCATCGTGGGCTCAGTTTCCACCGGCTGGGAAAGACCCTGCTATCGGCTGATCACGTGTCTCCCAGAATCTGGGAGATAACAAAAAATTTCAATTAGGGTGGGTACCTAAGTACGTTTTGTCATTGAGCAAGGAGTGAGCGAAGAAATAACCCAGAAATCATGCAGGAAATATTTACAAAATTGTATATTTTATTTGTCATGAATACTATCAATGTTACACAATAGTAAATATCAGATTTCATTGTGCGCAGAATGTCGGTGAGCAAAGATAGATCAAATTTCAATAGACAAATTATGTCGATACAGCTCGTCGAAGAAATCAACACGTCGCAAACGTTACAAAAAAATATATTTCTACACCAGTACCGACCGATGTGGCTGTTATTTAGCTGTTGGTGTCTATACTAAACTACAAGGATTTATTTAAAGGGCATATGACTCGAAAATTGACGGTCTTATTTTTTAGTCTAATTTGAAAGATCATTGAAAACTGTAGAGTAACTTCTTTGACAGATTTTTGTTTTCTTGCTTCGTTTTGGAGATATTTCATTTTGTATGATATGCAAAGGACCAACTTTCTACGTCACATATGCATAATAATTTACTTTAAAATGTTATATAATTTTGTCACTATCAAATATATTCGCTCAAAATGAATGATGAGAACGAGACTTGTCCACAGCAACACCAATGTAGGTTTTTTACTGATTGTGTTTAGTCGTATTAAAGATATACAGCTTTTAGGCCTAAATCATTATGCATATGTGACGTACGAAGTTGGTCCTTTGCATATCATACAAAATGAAATATCTCCAAAACGAAGAAAGAAAACAAAAATCTGTCAAAGAAGTTACTCTACAGTTTCCAATGATCTTTCAAATTTGACCAAAAAACAACACCGTTAATTTTCGAGTCATAAGCCTTTAATACTGAGATGTGTAACGAAATATAGAGATCTTTTGATTTCTGAAATATCGCAAACAATGTTGCTTGTAAACAATGCTACTCGGACTGCTGAAACTTCAGAACCATCCTCAAAGATACGAAAAACCAGAATCTGTTGAAACTTGATGCTCAAGAAATATGTCCAAGTATACCTCCCTGTTATCAAACCTACGGTAAAATAATCCGACAATAGCCTACTCAAAGGTAAGTCAAAGACTCGTTTGTGCGTGTATGTTACAAATACGAATATTGTATATGTTTGACATTTAGGACATTTAGAGAATGCAGTCTGCATGATAAATTTGATAAATAGCTTTAATTGTGACATTAGCTAATACTGTAATGAAATTACTTTACTGTAATGAAGTACTTTGTGAAATATAATACTGAATCAAACTCTAAGACTATGTAAGTGACGGAATAGAGGGTAAAACGCGGAAAAGTGGGTAAAACGCGGAAAAGAGGGTAAAACGCGGAAAAGAGGGTAAAACGCGAAAAAGAGGGTAAAACGTGGAAAACAAACTTTGAAACCAAACTTTGATTTGTTAACAAAATCGAATTTAATCTAATTAAATACCATAATAAAACGAAGTAAATGTACCTCATTACTGTACTTGAGTTCTATTTTTGAGAAGTCGGCATGTGACAAAGTAAACTTTCATTGGAGTACTTTTACTTGAAACGCAGTCGTTTAAAGAAGTAATGTTTCACTTCGTTATTTTCATTATCTTGCGAAGTATTTTGTTACTTTCTAACTTTTATTTAATTTTACTTGATGTATTCAGGATTTATTTTAATTTTGGGATAGGTAATAGGACATCTACATGCGTCTGGATGGATTTCTTATATCTTCAACGGGATCTGGAGAGTAGACCATGCCGTGAAATATTGTATATTAGGTGCACGCATATAATGCGTGTGTTGTTTTGTATGTCAATCCATTGGAGAAGTCCCCCCCCCCCTTACACGCCAAAGACAGTAGTACTTTTACTTTTTACTTCAAGTATTTTTTTAAGGATACTTTGTACTTTTACTTAATTAAGTACGTTTTGCTTCCAGTACTTTTTACACTTATTCAAGTCGTTTTATTGTCAACTACTTCTACTTTTACTCGAGTACAAATTCAAACTAATTTAGGCACCACTGGGTATAGTGGACATACTGCGAAGCAAAGATGCCTTTTTCCCCTCAGAAGGAAGACCATTCCACTATACTTAAACTTCGTTTAAGATAGTTTGTTTCAGGTTTTGGAAGTGCTAGATCAGTATCATTACTTCGAAGATTATATTCTCTTTTAAGATCTTTAATTTTTATAAATTTTTCTCTAAGACTTGGAGCGGACTTCTCATTAAGAATTTTGTACATCAAAACGCTCTTCACCCAATGACGTCTTACATCATATTCCCACCGACTAATAATCATACACCTATAAGGCCGGTTTACACCATCAAAGTTACTGTGATCAAAGTGGCGTCATCTCGCCCAAGCAAACCTGTGACTTAAATACTTTTAAATTTAATTTGTGTTTTTGAAGAATGTTACTGGTGCAAACTTCGTTAATAAAAGCATACTGCATGCAGTGAGCACAAAAACGTTGATAGTGTAAAGGCCAGACTCCACCGCCCCCCTCCATGTGAAAAGTGAATCTGACATCGTGGGCAGCAGGGGCCGTATTAGTTTCGCGAGAAAAAAGATTCGCTTCGCCATTACTGGATAAGTATAGAGGTCAGTTATAATTCTCTCCAGTCTGTTATTTAAGAAATGCCGACTTGACGCCAACGGAACCGGATAGTTTGAGAAAAACACTTGCGGTTTGACAAAGAATACCACCTACGCAGTAATTGGCTAATTGCTTTCAGTGCGAATACCTTGCCACAGCCCATAGGCTTAGTCGCTTTATAGAGATAATATATACTCTATTATATGTACAAGCGTTGAGTCTGCAAAACATTACATTATGGCACTAAATACGTAACGATTAGCGCGCTGTCAATACGGGTTTTCTTTGCATGGGGCCCCCTCTCCGCAAGTTGGGCTCCCCGGTAGTTATGTCGGTTAATTGAGGTTAATATTTGAGTTATCAGGGTTGTTAATAGTATCAGAATATTGTAAATGTATGTAGCTCTTTTATGACATAACACACGCCCTTCATGGAAATCATAGTTGAAAGGACTAGTGTGTATAATTTTTAAATAAATATAGTTTTACGAAGCTACACGGCCTACCTCGTAAAGAAAAAAGTATTCTAAAAAATTTTTCCGCGTTTTACCCTCTTTTCCGCGTTTTAACCACTTTTCCGCGTTTTACCCTCTTTTCCGAGTTTTACCATCTTTTCCGCGTTTTACCCTCTTTTCCGCGTTTTACCCTCTTTTCCGATTCCGCTTTTCCGGTTCCGCCATTCCGGTTCCGCCAGTCCGTTCCGTTCCGTTTCCGCGTTTTACCTCTACACGTAAGTGTTAATATATCTGTTGGTAGGCCTACATATGACTATATGATATCAGTGTTTATGCCGTGGTTTATGCCGTTGTTTATTCCGTGGTTTATGGAATTACTATGACTATGTTCATATTATAAAGTGTGTACTGTATATCAGAAAAATACTGTTATAAATATTGCTGTTACGTACCCCATTACTAATAGTGCATAGAGGCCAAAAAATTATCAGGCTAAAGCCGTGATTGTATATACCACCTGATGATACACGCGCTGTGAGGCTGAAAGTAGTTGTACTTTACTACCTGCCAACCTCCTACTCTACCGATATACAGGCCGGGCTTTTTAATAAATATGACGAACTATTTAAAAGTATTTTCAAAGATAAACCATCGACAGTTTTAAAGTGAGCATTTAGTCTCTGTTCGGCAGTGTTTACATTGTGATTTGTGACAAAAAGTTAATTACATTTCAAAATTTTATCAACCTTCGCAATAAAATGAGACGCGTATTATTACTAAATTTGCACAAACTTTATCAACGTTTTCAAACAACAAATCGAATGGCATATTTTCGGAACAGATAAAAGTGAAAATGTACAAACGTTGACGACTGACCAGTTTGATATGAAAATATGTTTCAAGAGAATACCCAACTTCAAAGTTTAAACTATACATTTATTTGTTTCTTGACTTGACTCTTGATAAAATGGCTACAGAGTACAGTGTTTTTGTAATTTAAAAGCAAACGGAGGTATAAAATAGAAGTTAGCTGGCGCTTCGAAGTATATATCGTAAAATCCCACTCCCGGTATTTGAAATTTAACGTTTTCTGTGGAAGCATGTAATTTGATACATTGCCACTCCCCCTTGGGCAATCAATTTTTGTAGAGTCACGTGAACAGCCGATACCAGGGTCTTTCCCAAAAAGACCCTGGGTACGAGGATGGGTAGTACCCATGCTAGGTATATACCTGAGCATCCTAATCCCAACACCCAACGCGACCCTAACCTCTAACTCCTAACCCCTAGAACCTAACCATAGAATAAGAAATGAATAGAAGGGCAACTCGCGTGTACAAAGCGTAACCAATTTTCAGTGCGCACGCGCGGGATTCTCAAGCTCGCAGAGTCTCGCAGCCAGTAAAAGCCAGTCAGTGCAATGGGGATTTGTATTACGAAATGTACATTTTGATCACAAAATCGACTATTTTTCGGAAACAAAGGATTGGAATATCAAACTACTACGACTGCCTGCAGAGGCTATGTAAGCCTAAATTATTATTGTGGTTAGCATAGAAAGAAACGAATATTTAGGGAGAAATTTGATATTGTTGTCTGAGCTACAGTCCAAATCTGAATGAAATGCCGACAGTCGATCGCGTATACAGTGTTATTTATTTCGATTTTCGAGGTTTATGTCAAATCTTATCAGTACAGGTTTTGGATTGCATCAAATTTTATTTAAAAAAGTATAAATTTCAAAGTCACGAGCAATTAATCAAACTATTTCGTGCGGGAAGTTGTCTGTCTGTGTCTGACATGTTGAACTACAAATACAAACAATATCAGAAAATGATGTTATTTATTTATGTAATTGAAATATCATGATTATAAATTAACATTCATTCCTATTACTACAATATTACTTCGAATACATCGAATTTTTCCAATAAATAAACCAAACTATCATATGTTAATATACCGTACTTTAAATTTCGCATTTAGCAATTCTTTAACAGCTCATAACCAACAGAAATGTATTCACTAACCTTCAAATTACAACCAGCAGCCGTGGTTTGTAATTTGAATCGTTCGTTTGCGAAAAATAGTCGATTTATTCAGCCAAATGGGCATTTTGCAATACAAATCTCTAATAAATTGACTGGCTGCGAGTAATTAGAGCGGGCAATTTCCGGTATGCGCGAGGCGACATGCGCGGCTTCAAAAACTCCAAAGCTTCCGACGCGAGTTGCCCTTCTACTCATTTCTTATTCTATGACCTAACCCCTAAAACCTAACCCCTAAAGCGGTTTTGCAATCTCCCACCCCGCCAACCGCCAGTTATGGTCGGTTTTATTTATAAGCAAAACGTTTGCCCAATGCTTGTGGTTTTGTCTTCAGTTCAGGTAGCTGAAGTATATACCCAGCATGGGTATTACCCGCATTCTAAAATTTAGAATTACGGCTATGTACCCATTTAGAAGTAGCGAAACGGGTGATGGGAAAAGGCCCTGTAGACGGCTGGCCAAGTCATCATTTTGTACAACTGGATGGCAACTTTATGTTAGAAAGTTTAGAAGCTGGTAACAGGTATTTTCTTATAGTTCAAGCCTTGGTGAACAAGACTATATGTGTTACCACTTCTGATTTTTGCTTTATGGCCAAAAATTTGAGAATTTTAAAATTTTGCCTATTAAAGAGGCAAACCATATTCATCATCTAGTATACATTTTCAAAGTTTAGATTAAAATGTAATCGAAAAATCCCCGACTTTAAAAGGCTCACTGAAAAAGGCGAAAAACAAACTCGACAAAAATCTCGACATTTAAACGAAAAAAACTTTAAAATTTTACCGTATGTGTCAGCAGTTTCCAAAAGTCTTTGTTTGTGTGTAATCCAGAATGTAAATCAATGGAAATCTCTATCACATATCAAGGATACGACACGTTTATGATTTTTCTTTGTGTTTTCCTCATGAATTATTAATGAGTTTTTGAAGCTATTTTAGACAACAGTCCGTCACAACGTGCACAGAGCTTTTATCTTTTAAAAGACTCCTGAACCACGGTTGTTTAACGTATTCTGCCGTATAGCAAATATAACATTTGAGCATGTTTTGAAATGTTAGTCTTAAAATCATCATCCAACCTCGTACTGTAGCTGCAATGGCAAGTGATATAGCCTCAACTATCTAGTGGTCTTGAATTATACTTTAAAGTGAACAAACTGAACAAGACAACTATATTAAAGAAATATTCAGGATATATTTAAAATGTATAATTACTCGCTGGGGCACCTGTGCCCCGGGCGAGTATAGGTTTCGGCTTCAATCTCCAATCTCCGATCGTCGATAGCCACAAAATAGAATATTAATGAGATGCTTGATCCTTCAAAATGGCGGGGACTTTCGTGGAGTGGGCAAAATGTTTTCAACAATTTCGTGAAAATTTTGAACCAATTGTGCCTGTTTTCTATGGATTTTGGATTGTGTGTAACTGTGGATATTCCTGCTAGTTTATTTAATGCGTTTTACTTGGTGCACGGCTCTGAAAATCCGAAATTTGGATCGTGGAATTCCCGTGCACGATCATAATATACTGAATCTGAATATAAACGAGCCAAAGACAATTTCAAGGTAAAAGGTTATAACTTAAACTGCACAACGTAGTTTTAATAATTAACTACTTTATGAGAAGCATATTGGTGTCATATCGATATGAATTTTATCGAACAACAGTCCGTGAAAACTGCAGTGTACTCAGTGTGAAATATGATATTGTATTTGTATAAATGCCTATTACAGTAATGGCGCAATAGCCAATAAGGATAAAAATACCACCGTTCGATTCAGCATAAGAAATTGCACTTACGGATGCCAAATGTATCACTAAACAACAGTATTCTAACGATTTATGGACTTTGAAAATCAAGCGACATTTTTATTGTTGACAAATTACTCGCCGTTTGTCCGACCTTGTATTTGACCTTGTATTTGTAATGCCTAATAGTAATAAGTAATGGCGGATAAAAATATAAGAAATTGTACTTATAAGAAATTGTACTCAACGTAAGAAATTGTACTTATATGTGAATGACAAATTGTACCTACGGGTTTCAACTGTATTACTAAACAACTGACAACAGTATTCTAGCGATTTATGGCGTTTGTCTTTAAAGCCAAACGAAATTGTATTATTTGTTGACAAACCGCTCAAATTCTAAAAATTATATAAAATGCAATATGTTTGATCCTTGATAACTTTGGTATCGTTGGTTTTCTCTTGTTCGGCGGTATACCAGTGGATTCGTCTAACTTCTCTCTTCATTTTGATAATATTTCGAGCCCAAAAGCCCAAAAATATTTTAGTTTGGACGTTTTAAACTAGCGGCCAACAGAAGAATGTAGCGTTCTACAAAATACAACTTTTAATACTTGTGGGCCATAAACGCCGGAAGTTTTATTAATTTGTACTTGTAGCACAGAATAGCTTGTAGGGTACCGCATTTTAGTGTGTTGAGCTTTCGCACTCGTTTCGACTTTTCCGCTTAGCTCGGGGTCAGGCTTAGATCTTAATAGAACTTTCCCCTTTGCAGTGAAATTTTGATCTAGATTAGCCTGGACAAAAATTTCATCACAGCTTGGAAGGGCATTGCAGAATTAGTAATATTCCGAAGTTTCGTTGCAAAAACTTGTAAAATGCAGAAAATATAGCCTTGCGAAGCTGGCCGTTTTCAGTCATTTTACAAACGGAAAATTGATAATCAGATAATGAAACTGATGGTCAATTTCCCATTTGTAATACAAAATGACTGAAAAACGGCAAACTTCGCATTGCTATATTACCCGCATTTTAAATATGACTAATTTTGTCATGCTCTTTCAAGCTGCAGGCGCAGAATAACGTACACAGAAGGGCGACTTCTTTGTTTTTCCTATGATTTTCCCATGATTTTGGCGTAACCGTAATTCGTCACCAAATGCTGACGTCATCAAATGCTGACGCCATTCACCCCCCTGATAATATTCAAAATGGCGGATCTCCAGGGGGGAATGCCTCTCAAACCCGCACTGGCTAGGACCATGGCGTCAGCATTTTGATGATGAATCATGGCGTGGCAGCGGTTACTCGAGTCGACCTTCTGTGTGCATTATTCTGTGCTGCAGGGACGCGGAGAGCTTGGCGGGGGCCCGGGGCAAATTTTTCTTAAGGGACCGTATTCAAAAAAAATTTCCGGGCGAGTACGTTGTAAACACTTTTGTGGGCAATTACTGCAAATTTTTCATACCAAATTTCGGTTCTTTGCCCGAAAAAAACAGATATTGTGACCCAAAAACGGAAATATTTCGCGCAAAAAAATGACTGGTGCCCAACAAAAAATTTCTAGGGACCCCAGAACCTCGTGGCCCGGGGCAATTTGCGTCCCCCCCCCCCCTCTCGGCGGCCCTGTCAAGCTGTGATGAAATTTCTGTCCACGCTAGTCTAGATCAAAATTTCACTTAAAAGAGGAAAGGTCTATAGAAATATCTGTGTAGTGTATCTGGCATCATATAAAGTAATGTGCGTATCTTTACAGCCCCAGCGAGTTAACGCTCCATAGAGCGTCTTGTTCATATGAAAAGTTAATTAGATTGCAAATTACTTTTCCTGAAAAGTAATTAATTACAAATTACTAATTACGTGTCAAAAAGTAATAAATTACAATTAATTTCAAAATTTCTTATATATTTAGTAATTTGTTGCAAAACTTTAATTAACAAATGTGCGAATGAACTTCGAGCATATTTGATTCATTCATATTCCTTTGTGGCCAATGTGACGTGCAGTCCTGCACACATGCAGCCACACACTTTGAATTTTTTAAATGTTTTCTTTTATTCCAACTTAATTCTTTACTACATGAAGTAAGGAATCTTGCTTGTATACATACAAGCAAAATTACAGGTTCATGTCAGCAAGATTTTGGACAAGAAATCGCAACGGCAGTTAAATGTCAATAATAATATGCGTTAAAACTGGAAATAATGGTGCAATAAAATTGAGAAGTAACGTGAAGTTACTTCATAAGAATTTTGCTCGTTACCTGCAAAAAGTATAATTAATTACGTAACAAATTACTTTGGAAGAACAGGTAATTTATTATCGCCAAAATTACTCAAAAAGTAATTAGTAAGGCGTTACTTTTGTAACGAGTATTAACAACACTGGAACTATATAATTCACTTCCACTTATGAAAGTGTTTTTATCGCTTCCCTTAAATTTAATCCATGCTAATCTACTCTGTCAGTTCCTTGTTATGATGAGCTCTGTTTTCTGTGCGTAGGCTTTTGCGCAATAAACCAATCGTACACCAATTGGAATAATTATGGCAATGTGCGTTATAAGCACATGCCGGTTTATTATTTTTTTGTAATGAATAACATAATTATTAATATAACAAATTATTAAGGAAACTAATGTTCGTAAAAGTAATTATTAAGAAAATTGTTCGCACAGAAAAGGTGGGGGTAATTCAAACGCCCACCACTAAGAACTAGTATACATATCAAAAGGAATTGCGCCAGAAAACGGGGAGGAGGGTGGGTAAACTTGATTTCCGATGGAGATGTTTTGCAGCCAATGTGCAGAGCAGAATGAACCGATCCCGCATTCTACTTCAA